CAAATTTAAGATTGCAGAAACTTCTTTAGGCCAGTGGCCTCATCTTACTTTCTTGTGTCTTCCCAGGGAACTTACTTACATTGTTGGGCTTTCGGACCATAATGATTGTCATTTTCATTGACATTCCAACCCTGAATTTCTCCCAGGATTTGGAGCTCACAGCCATTTTTATTTGCATGATCAAATTGAATGATGGCTTGTGGATAAAAAATTTTGCCTGGCAAAACAGGAATTTTAGAACCAAGTCAGTTCCCATTCATGCAAATAATAAGCCTGTTGGCTGTAGCTAAGGATCAGTTAACTTCCATGTACAATTTTATTTTTAGGGCATGACAACCAAAGGAGCTATTTGTGATTGAAACTGCCATTTTGGCCTTTAACTTGAATCAGGAGGGCTCTTGCCTTTAAGCTCTGTGCAGACCAGTGAGGAGTAGGATCAGCCTTGTGGTTCCTTCAGTCTGAGTCTTAGCTTTCAGCAGTGTTATTCTTCTAAGGAGTCCATTCCCTCCTAAATTGCTTTTTGACACTTGAAAATTTTACCCTGAAGTGCCTTTTGTCAACAGTTTAGGCACTCATCTTCTCAGCTCAACTGTATATTAGTTTCCCTAGCCTGCATCCCAGCCTTCTCTCTTGAAGAAACTAGTGTCACCAACATTTGGGGGAAAAAAAAAATCAGTTTTTGTAAAATTTTTCACGTAACGTAGTAATGTATAGTTTTTTAATCCAGAATTCTTGTGTGACATAACTATTTTTCAATGCATTTGTTTCTATCATCAGTTTTATCAGAATCAGCAAAAATGTCATGAATATGATGACAAGCATTATTCGTTGTCAGCCATACAAAAAAAACAGAAGAAATGTTACTAGAAACCCACAAATCTAGATTTTACAATTAACCATTTACTGTATCGATCCATATGCCAATCTTCTCTCTATCCATCAATTCACCTTTTTTGCTGTTTTTTTTTTGGGGGAGGGGGATACATAAAAGAACCCTCTGATGCCTCAGCTTGACATCATTAACTGGAATTCAATATTTTGAGGGGAAAAATGATCCACAAACTTAGAAAAAAAGACCAGTAATAGTGGTTATTTCTAGGTGATGAAAGATATGTAACTTATTTTTTTCTCATATCTTTATTATCTGAAAAAAGTTTTAATCTGAGGATATATTTCTGTTATAATCAGGAAAACCAATAAATCCATTTGTATTTAGGAAAAAGAAAAGGTTGTTTATTGCAGAAGTCTGAGCAAAAAGTGAGAAGGTCTGGACTAACAAATATGAAAAGGAAAGGCTGAGTTGATGGATTTTTGAGAAACTAATATCCCTGGGACTGCTGACTGTGAGGGCTAAAGAATGGGCCCAGGCTGGCACTGGGGTTTCTTCTCTTGGTGACCAGGGGACGTGAAGATACATAACATTCTTAGAGATGTTTGGGACTAACTGATAGCAAAAGCAGACCTCAGAAATTTATGCAATTGAAAGAAAGCTCAACTTGACTTTTCAAGTTGACCTTGAAGTAGTTGGTAAGCTCCTTGAGGACAGAAACTCATCTTTATATTGTAATTTGTCAATACTTATCATATAACCTGGTTTGTAGAAATGCTTCAAAACGTTTGTCATTGAATGAATTATTCAAGCTAAGCTAATAGTATTTCTTAGAAGTAGTTATCATCATACTCTGCTCAGGGAACACATCAAGCTGATTTGTAATCATTTGTAAATAGGTGCTTCCAAAGTGCTTAAAATAGTGTTTCTCTTAATAAGAGATGTTTTGTTCTAAATTATCTTAAAATCATTGCTAATGTCTGGCAACTCTCCTGTAGTTTTGTAGCATGTAAAAAAAAAATCTGTGTGGTCCCATATACATATATGGCACAAGATACTCAAGAAACTGAGGTGATACTGCATATGTATTCTGGATCCCTCTTGTGTATTTTGCTGTACCTTAGAACATTATTTTCCTCTGAAGCATGGTTTACCACTGCTGTTCACAGGATGCAGAAAATTATTTGGACTGTGAGGCTGTATGTTAGAGTGACTTAAGGAGTTGATGCCCTGAAAGCAGCCAGTCTGACTCTGAATCCTAGTGTTGCCATTTCCTAGCATGTAGACTTGGGTAGTTAAACCAAATCTCTCTCTGTTTTCTTATCTGTACAAACATGTTACACGGTTATGAGGTTAAAATGGAAGAGTAACTATAATGCACTTAGCACAGAATTTGGCATGTAGTCAGAACTCAAAATATCAGTCATCTTTTTTAAAAATCACATTTGTTTATCCTCTGGGATGGAGGTATTACTGAAAGTACAGGATTTCCTGCATCCCGTTTGAGATTTGTTTGATTTACCTTAAAATGTAAATACCTTCTCTTTGAAATCCTCCCAACACAATAAAAGTCTCTGTTCCCTTCCTAAGGCAGAACAAAAAAGAAAGGTTGGCCTGAAATTTGAACTCAATGAAATGGACATTTCAGATAACATCCTCCTGGACTTGTGGCTTTTGATTTATTATAAGCACCATTAAGAACACTTGTGATAAGACCAGGGCGCTCTCGGCAGATGTTACCAGGCAGGCTCCAGCTGGTGTTCAGATCCTTGGAAGCAAGCCACACTGGACCCGTAGTTACTTCAGAATCACCTGCTGGGGCGAGTCACAGCTGAGCAGACCCTTATGTGGTCAAGGTTTCGTGTCCTGTAGCAAGTTTAGAGTCACCTGGGACGAGAAGGCATGTAGAGGTCAGACCAGTGCTCAGGCCTTGGCTCATTAAATGTGGTGATACTGTTTGTAAATCTCAAGTCTCACCTGAGGTCCTTTAAACCACACTTGCAGGTTGTTGATCCCTAAGTTAACATTTCACAAGGTGAGACAGGAGTTAAAGTGTTTGGATGAAAACATAGAGGAGAGTTTAGATGTGAAATTCATAGTGTCAGAGTTGATTGAATACCAAATTATAGTCATAGCAGCAAAAGCCCACCATTCCTCACAAGTTTTTCTGATATTTACTTCTCCCTCCCACCAGTCAAGCTAGAAGCTAGGAGAATCTTTCACACAAAAACGTTACATAAATGTATTTTTTCATTTGGGTGGCTAAAGCATTTTATTTTTTACTATGCATTAGTATATTATAATATGAAATAAAACCCATTGTTTTACTTGCTGGATTATTTAAGTGCCTACCTAGGGACTAAATGACTACATTTCAGAAACAAATATTTCAAGCATCATGCTTTAATCACCATGTAAATTTTCTGAAAATAAAAAAAAATTAAAAACACCTGATCCTGAAGTAGAGTGTCAGGTTTGAGTTCAAAACTTTTAGAATTAACAAAAAATTTTACAAAGAAATATTTTAAGCTGCACCGTAACACTGAGAATGCACACAGGCTGTGTTCCTGTCCCTGCTAATCCTTGAAAATTCCCTGTGCCCTCAGCTCCTCAAAACGGGGAGGAAAAACAACCATTGCCTCTTGTTGGCAGTAGAATTTATTCAGTAATTTACTTTCCAGCCAACTGCAGCCATTGCCATTGCCTCTGGGCACTTGTTCAAAAACGCAGAAATGAAATAACAGATTGGCCAGACTGAACACAACTCCCCAGTCACAACCCTATTATCTCCTCATTCTGTCACCCCCATTAGGCAAAAGCCTGGGAAACGGAGGTTGACAACACAGTATTTACATGGCTCTTGCATTTCCACAGCTCAGGGCTTCCTGCCAGTGTCCCTTCTTCATCGTGTTCCCCTGCATGCATGGTGGGTGACATTGGAGTCTGGGCATCCTAGGCCTGTGCTGCAGGCTCGCCTTTGCCCATCTGTCTGTCTGAAAGGATTTCTGTGCTAGTACAAGCCTGGGAAACCGCTCCTCAGTCCTAGGACAACCAGAATGAGATGAAGGGACCAGCTTTCTCTATTTGCTGACCACCTACCTGTGAATGGATGTGGTTAAGGTTGCAGTGTGTGGACTTTTCAGAATCTTGTGTATATCTCAATTTACCAGGAGGAATTTGGTTTCATGTTATTTATAGCTGTTCTATTCAGGTCAGAGCCAAGCAGAGCAGTTGCTTCATTTAATATCAGCCGCACATGGTCTCAGCAGGCTCATCTGAAAAACTGAGATTTCTCTTGACGGAATGAAGGTAAAGGAGAAGAGGGTCTCTGTTTAGTCCAGAGAGAATTATTTTCTGACTGTCACTTGCTGGTGAAATGCCTTTTACAATTACAGGCACGAGATGCAGATGTTTGGAGAGGGTGTGGGGTTGCTGTACCCCTTGGTCAAGTGTTAGAGAAGTTATAGAACCCAAATGAGAGAAATCCAAAATTTTCTTTTCCAGAATAGCGTACTCTGTAGACAATATTCCTTTGCAGTGGTTGGTGTTTTTTTGGAGTGGTTTGTGCCCCAGCAAGCTTTACCTTTTATTCTGTCTTCATTCCATGCACCTGTTCAATATAACCCCATAATTACATCTTTTATGAGTGAGTAATTCTTAGAGGAGATGAAAGGTTCTGGGGATTATTCATCACTCTATCCCTAAACCTCTTGTTATGTAGCTGGGTGAAAAACACAGCTGGAGTCAGGTTCAGTTACATGGGGGCTCTACGCCTATTCAGAACTCCCGATCAGCCCTGCCCCCTACAGGTTTTTGGCCAGTGGGTGGTGAAACCTGGGTGAGAGCGTTTCTGCTGGGAAACGGACAGTAGCCTTATTCTGAGGCAACAAGGAAGAGAATACACAGCTTAATGATTTTCAGACAGATGTATTTTCCCTAAAAAGAGCAGGTTTTGGTTCAGGTTAATCCATCCTAGAGAGAAGTATTCTCATGACGATTTTACTGGGAACGTGTGGGAGAGAGCAATCCCTCACCTCCCTCAGGTGTAAGAAAGAACAAGGTAAGATGAAAACATTTTGTTACGGGTAAGATGGCCTGTGTTAAATATGTGATTGTTGTTTCTTCTTGCTGATTGGACACTAACTGTCCTCTCCATTTCTTTGCACACCAGCTCATACCCCAGACAACAGCTTTCTGGGGTTTGTGGTCGAGCAGCACCTGAACTCCAGTGACATCCACCACATTAATGAAATCAAAAGGCAGAACCAGTCCCTTGTGTATGGCAAAGTGGATAGCTTCTGGAAGGTGAGTCAGTCTGTGCGTGTGTCTCTCTCTGAAAAGAAGCTTGTTGGGTAATTTAACTTTGATCCAGGGAGTCGTCAAGCCAAGTGCCCAGGGCTTAATGGGATCTACTTAGACATAAACAAGAACGTGCAAGGATTCAGTTGCTCAGCATTTGGGTTTCTAACCAAGGCTGTACCTGCTCTTCTGGTAGTGGCTATACAACAGCCCCCTTCGCTCTCTGCATGTCAGAAGGGACACATTCTAGCTGCTTTCACACCTTGTACTTGCTTCTGAGAGCCAGGGCCCTCCAGGGGTTGAATATCTTTCTGGAGCAAGGTACCGCACAGGGAGAAACTTCACCGAGGGGAGTCTCCCTCTGCTTCTGGGAGGTGGTCTGTGGAGGTAGGCAGCTCCCTTTCCTGGGAAACGCAGTGGCCTTCACATCCTCTTGGCTATAGTCACTACTCACCTGACGTGGAAAGTAAATTCTTGCTGGGGCTGACTGTAGGCAGTTTGTTCAGGGAGGTCTTGGCTGAAACAGCACTCCTGGCTACAGACCAAACCAAGTTTTCCAAAAGCCTTGGGCCCCTTGGCCCTCCTAAGTTGGTTTCCAGAGTACATCTGGGGAAAGTGTAACAGGAGAAGAACCAGATTGGATGTGACCTGTTGACAGGTAATGCAGATCTTTTTATGTGGGAAGTCTGCCTCAATAGGCAAATATCATAATTTTTTTTTTTTTGAGGAAATGTTTTTTAGAAGATAGAAGTCTTCAGGAGCTCACAACGTGCCTCTTCCTAAATATAAGAATTAATTGCTTTCTTGAATGATCACAGACTGTGGTCTTATGTTACTTCCTAACCAAGGAAGTTAGGAATCCTACAACTGAAGGAGTACAGGTGATGTACAGGATAAAGAATTCCTTGGTACTGCTTTTCTGACCCTGTGTTCAGAAAAGGAAAAGCAGTGCCCTACCCACCAGCTCTAAGGTGCTAACTACACCAAAGGGGTGATGAGATCAGCCCACCTCCAGGGAGGCAGATTTAATTCCAGACAACTCTGTCTTAAACAGCTAAACCTTTGTCTTTGTTTAGTATAGTAGTTCTCAGCTGCAGACTATTTTATTTACCAATTCCCCTATGCCCAGGGAACATTTGACAGTGTCTGGAGACAATTTTGGTTGTGATGTCTGGTCAGTGGTGCTACAAGCATGTAGTGGGTAGAGGCCAGGGATGCTGTACATGTCCTACAATGAATGGGATGGCCCCTGGCACAAAATACCAGTAATGCCAAGTGTGAAAAACCCCCGGCTGGTAAGAATGTTTCCTCTGTATGTTATGCCATACTTTGTTGTCTCAAGTAAAATGAAAGTTAATCTAGATTGTAAATGGCTATCGAAGATGGTCCCATAAATTTGTGTTGCTGTCCTTGTGTAAAAATGTGTCCTGTGTTGATAGTGCATTTTCCAGCTGACTTTCAGCCAGACTTGGGTTAAAACAGGCATCTTAGGTGTTCTCATGCTCAGCTTGTTCATGAAATTAATGGTTTGTGGCGTTAGTTTTAGGCGGACTGTGGCTTTTAAAGAAAAACCTCTGCACCTGCTTGAAGATAGCTTGCATGTCCATGTGGGCTTGATACAGAAATTATATCACTTTGTTTGGGGGCCAAGTGCAACTACCTCCTAGCACCCTTTGGCAACTTTTTCCCTTTCCCTGGAAAAACAAAACAATAAATTGGTTCTGAAAGATTTTGGTCACTTGTTTTGGATAAATTAATACTGCCACTAAAAGGGTGACTTTTCTGTGCCAGTAAGAATACCGAGGCCAGGCGCGGTGGCTCACGCCTGTAATCCCAGCACGTTGGGAGGCCGAGGTGGGTGGATCACCTGAGGTCAGGAGTTTGCCACCAGCCTAACATGGTGAAAACTCATCTCTACTAAATACAAAACAATTAACTAGGCATGGTGGCGGGCACCTGTAATCCGAGCTACTTGGGAAGATGAGACAGGAGAATCCATTGTATCTGGGAGGTGGATGTTGCAGTGAGCTGAGATCACGCCATTGCACTCCAGCCTGGGCAACAAGAGCGAAACTCCGTCTCAAAAAAAAAAAAAAAAAAAAAAAAAGAAATCCCAAAAGCATTAACCATGTTGCTCAAGTGATCTGGAGTGAGATTTAGAAATCTGTCCATGTTTTGAGGTGTTAAAACTCCATGTGTGCCCAGGCTTCTGTGTACCTGTGCCATGCGTCACCTAAAGACTACAAAAGGTTGGGTTGCAGTGTGTCCACATTCATCTTTGCCAGAGTAATAACACCCAAAAATCCTGGGTGTTACTTCAATTTTATTACATCCGGCATTCTGTGCTGGAAAAAGCCCAAGAAGGTGAAAAATTCTATAAAGTTTTCACAGGAATTGAGGACATCTTCTCCAACTCTAGAAGACAGCACAGTATGTGAGAGTTTAGTTTCTTTTTCCAAAGCGTGTGCATCCCAGAGTGTTTAGTGAATGCACACAGAAAACCAATGTGCCTTTTAAGTGAGATGTTATTCCAACCACATTTCTAAAGTTACCTTCAACAGAAGCTTTAGCTAGCAGGATGTTTTATCAGTGGTCTTCCCCATCTTGTGTCCCATTCCCCTCTCCTCTACCCAATCCTGATCCACGTCAGAGAGCTTCAGGAAGGGAACTGGCACCTTTGTGTCCTGGGGGGTTTAGGATTGCAACTGGGAGATGTGGGAGGGCACAGTTTGGACCAGATGACTTTGGAAGGTCTTCCTTCACCTCAGATTCTAGGACTTTAAATTCTGAAGATTCCTGCTGTGCCATAAATCCTCCTTCACTCTTCCCACCACCCTCCTTCTTGAGGGAATCTCCCTACCCATCTTGCCACTTAAGTGGGAAATGCAAACATGTAACTCCCTCCAATGTTGGCTGATTGGATTCTGGAGTTGTCCTCTGATCCAGTGCAGTCCAGCTTTTTGTTGGCTGGAACTATAATTCTGGCTCAGAAAGCTGAGCTGCATCAATGAGATTCTTCAGTTGGTGTTAGAAAACAGAGTCACTGAGAGTGAGCCATGTTAACAGAAATCAAAAAAATGTGTCCATAGCAGGAGGGCGAGGCAGAAGCCTTCCAGGAGTCCACTTGATGAAGCAGGACCCATGTTGACAGGGAGAGGGTGCTGTTGAGAGGATAATGCATTCCTCCACAAGGAGAGGCACCGCCCTGACTGATTAGGGTGCAGTGAAGGGCCTGATAGAGTGGAAGATACAGATACAACTCCTGCAGCCTGGAGAGAAAGAGAAAGTAGCTGCTGGAGTTTCTGGTAGCTTTCTTGTCCCAGATCATGTATCCTTTTCACACTCTGGTCTTGCAGTATCTGAGTGCTCTGTTCTATAGTCATATCAGTATATTTACTAAAATACTAGATACTAAATGCCTATCAAGAAAAACAAGTCTATTAAATATACAAGCTAAGGAGGAGTGAACTTGTCCTTTAATCTCCTGTCCCCAGATTCATGACCAAAGTACTCAGTGGTCTTGTCCTGATGCTACAATCCATGATGGGGAGGTTGAGGTGGGGAGGGGAATCTTGCCATCAGATTCCAGAATCCCAAGGGTATCAACTTAGGAACCACCTCTGCCCAGGCCCCTTCATATCAAATGAGACTGCTAACAGCCTGATCCCAAATACAAGTCTCTCTTCTTACCTCAGGAACCTACAGTTCTGGGTCCCTGACCTCTACCTCTGAGACCATCTAATGATCCACTCCTGCTAACACTAGAGATGTGCCCAGAAGAACAGCAATCTATCCAGTATGGTCAAATTCAAAATCCTTCTACATTCTTTTAAATAAAGTCATCAGAAATGGAAAATTGGTCAACTGTGTAAAAAGAGATTTTTGAAATATGGGAATTGAAGTGTTAACTATATTACTTTAATTTCTGTGTTTCTTTAAAAATAGTATCCTGAGCATAACTGAATTTTCAAGTGCTGGTGCAGGGTTAGTATCTTATGTTTTCATGATCCTACTATGATCTTATTACAAGTTAATACATGATCGTTGCTAAGGTAAATGTCCTGGAGGCCTTTCTTTGACCACGTCAGGAGAACAAGAGTTGCCTCTGAATCACACATTGGGGTTCAGACTCGCAACTTAACCACTTGTAAGGTGGTTGACTGTCCTGAGCCTCAGGTTCCTAGCCTGTAAAGTTGGGACAGTAATAGCTGCTGGCTTCTCGGCCTTACTAGTGCACACATCACCTGAGGATCTTGTTAAAATGCAGATTCTGGTTCATACCTGGGATGAGACCAAGACTCTTTCTTACAAGCATCCAGGTGATACCGATGGGCTGTTAGAAGAGCATGCTTTGAGCAGCAAGGTCTTAGGATAGTTGGAATTTGTACAGTGTGTGGCACAAAGTAGCTGACCGATTCGCAAATAAATAACTCCTATTTTCTACTTACCTTTGTCTTCCTGCTGCTCTTGTCAGACTGCTGCCTGTCACTTTTTGCTACTGTGGGTGCCTAGTTCAGTCACCCTCATTCTCACTTTCATATTTGTAGACCTTGCTACTTCTAATCTCTGCCACCTAGCCCCAAGAGCCAGGTAAAGCTGTGGTGAGCAGTGGACTGTAAGAGGAGGTGAGAGGCACGCTGTCTTCCTGGTGTCCTGCTGTCCTGGTTTGTACATTCAGGTGCCGCTGGGCAGTGTAATCATAGACTTGGAGATGAATGACTGGGTTCAAATCCTGACTGGGCCACCAGCTGCCTAAGGTTGAGTACATTACTTAGCTGGTGCACAGTAAGTCTAAATACATGTTTGCTGCTCTTATTAATGTCATTATTGGGGCCAGATAGGAAATGCTGCAATGGGAATTGGTGGGGAGGTGAGCCAGGGAGTTCTATCCTATGAGGAAATGGAAAGTATAAGCCTGCCCAATGATACTCGAATTGTAATTCTTAATCTATGTAAGTGGTTGGCAAACTCTAGCCTGTGGACCAAATGTAGCCCAACATCTGTTT